GGATGTTAGATTCTATATGCTCTTACCACATGTGTCATAATCGAGAGTGGTTTGTTACCTATGAAAAAATCAATTTCGGGAGCATTTCGATGGTTAACGATGCACTGTGTAAGGTAGTCGGTATTGGTTCTGTACAAATTGACATGCATGATGGGGTTGTAAGAACACTAACAGATGTACGACATGTTCCACATTTGAAAATGAATTTGATTGTATTAGGAACCATGGAATCAAAGGGTTATAAGTAGTTTGGTTTGAATGGTGTACTTCGAGTTACAAAAGGAGCATTGGTGGTAATGAAAGGCTTGAGAGATTCGATGTTGTATGTTCTTCAAGGAGAGACAGTTATGGGTTCAGTTTTGATTTCTCACTTCGAAGAAGAAAATTTAAAGTCAACCTAGTTATGGCATATGCAGCTCGATTACGTTGGTGAAAAAGGTATGATTCTTTTAATTAATCAGGGTTTACTTGGGAGTCACAAGGTGGATAGATTGGAGTTTTGTGAACACTGTATTTTCGTAAAAAAACTTCGTATTAATTTTTCAAAAGCAATTCACCAAACTAAGGCGATGTTAGATTACCAACATTCAGATTGTTGGGGTCCATCTTGAGTCCCGTTACTTTGGTGGTGCTCGGTATTTTCTTTCTATAATCGAAGATTATTCAAGGATGTCGTGGGTTTTTACTATCAAGCACAAGAGTGAGTTGTTTGAAAATTCAAGCATTGGAAGGTTTTTGTAGATAATCAAGTAGGTTGGAAGATTTAAAAGCTTCACACAAATAATGGCTTGGAATTTTTCTCGAGGGAATTTGATGATTTTTGTAGAGATGAAGGTATTGTTAGATATCGTACGGTTCGAAATACGCCACAACAAAATGGGGGTAGCAAAAAGAACGAATAGAACTTTGTTGGAACGGGTATGATGTCTACTTTCGAATTTTGGGTTAGATCGAAGTTTTTTTGTCCGAAGCGGTTTGCTACTTGGTAAAGCGAATTTCGGCTATCGCCATTGATTGTAAGACTCCAATTGAAGTGTGGTCTGGTAAACCTGAAGATTATTTGGGTTTGAAGGTGTTTGGGTGTCCAACATATTATCATGTTAATGACGTGAAGTGGGAACAAAGAGCCAAGAAAGGTGTTTTCATGGGTTACAGTGACAGGGTGAAAGGTTATCTTATTTGGTCTCCGTAAAAAAAACGGGTAATTTTGAGTCAAGATGTGACAATTAATGAAAGTTTTATGCTTTACGAGATGCTGGAAAGTGTTCTGATGAACATGGAGGATGATGATCTTGATGGGTCTTTGGTTGATAATGATATGCATATCGATCTTGATGAAGCTCACTACTGGAACAACCAACCAGTTGGTCGTCAAAACAACCCAATAAGCCATGATGTACGCCCTCCCAAAAACCCTGCTTAAGGCTGTCTAAACAACTCTGTTCAAGCCGGCCATAATGGTTGCTCGTTTAAGGACAATGATAGCCCAAATACCGACCAAATTGGGCTTGTGAACAATCCAAACAACCGTGATTTTGAGGATTAAAATAGTAGGGGCGAGCCACATTTGCAAGGTGTTTCAAGTTCCCTAGGTGAAGACGAGACCCAGTTTCATTCTATAGATCAAGATATATCGTGAAGGCAGACAAATCCACCTATTCGGTATGGTTTCGAGGACTTGGTGGCTTATGTACTACAAGTAGCGGATGGGATGAAATCTTATGAACCAGCTACTCCCTAGGAAGCAATTATCTCGAAAGAAGTGGATTTATGGATTGGAGCTATGAGTGAGGAAATCGAGTAGCTTCATACAAAGAGATGTGGGATCTTGTAAAGGTACCAAAGGGAAGACATGTTGTAGGATGCAAATAAGTTTTCAAGAAGAAAATCAGATTTTTGGGTGTCGAGTCAACTCGGTATATGGCATGACTCGGGGCTAAGGGATATAGCCAAAGGAAAGGTCGACTATAATGAGATTTTCTCACCATTAGTTCGACACACATTGATTTGTTTTGTTGATTTCCTTAGTATCACATCATAATTGGAGTTGGAGCAACTCGATGTGAAGACGAATTTTCTTCATGGGAATCTCAATGAAGAAATCTTTATGAGTCAACTGGAAGGATTTTTGTTCAAGGCAAACAAAGTTATGTTTGTCGATTACGCAAATCGCTTTACGAGTTGAAACAATCGTCGATGCAATGATACAAAAGATTTGACGAGTTTATGGTAAAACATCGATTTTGAAGAAGTTTTTATGATTGTTGCGTTTATCACCGGAAAATGGGTGATGGATCGAAAATTTATTTACTTTTGTACGTTGATGATATGTTAGTGGCGGCGAAGAATATTGAATAGGTTAAGAAATTGAAATTAATTCTTAATTTTGAGTTCGATACGAAGGATTTGGGTCCGGCTCGGAAAATCTTAGGGATGAAAATCATTCAGGATTGTGAACATGGAAACTTTTCTTGTCATAGAAAAGTTACATCGAGAAGATTATCACCCGGTTCGGTATGAGTTCGGCAAAACCGGTAAATATTCCTTCGCCGGGAATTTGATGTACGTCATGGTGTGTACGAGACCGGGTATTTCTCATTCGGTAAGTGTAGTTTCTCTCTACATGCCAAATCCCGGAAAAGAGCATTGGGTTGCAATAAAACGAATATTCCTGTATTTTAAGGGAATGTTCAATATAGGTCTCATTTATGGAGGTGATAGCCCAAATACCGACCAAATTGGGCTTGTGAACAATCCAAACAGCCGTGATTTTGAGGATTAAAATAGTAGGGGCGAGCCACATTTGCAAGGTGTTTCAAGTTCCCTAGGTGAAGACGAGACCCAGTTTCATTCTATAGATCAAGATATATCGTGAAGGCAGACAAATCCACCTATTCGGTATGGTTTCGAGGACTTGGTGGCTTATGTACTACAAGTAGCGGATGGGATGAAATCTTATGAACCGGCTACTTCCTAGGAAGCAATTATCTCGAAAGAAGTGGATTTATGGATTGGAGCTATGAGTGAGGAAATCGAGTAGCTTCATACAAAGAGATGTGGGATCTTGTAAAGGTACCAAAGGGAAGACATGTTGTAGGATGCAAATAAGTTTTCAAGAAGAAAATCAAATTTTTGGGTGTCGAGTCAACTCGGTATATGGCATGACTCGGGGCTAAGGGATATAGCCAAAGGAAAGGTCGACTATAATGAGATTTTCTCACCATTAGTTCGACACACATTGATTTGTTTTGTTGATTTCCTTAGTATCACATCATAATTGGAGTTGGAGCAACTCGATGTGAAGACGATTTTTCTTCATGGGAATCTCAATGAAGAAATCTTTATGAGTCAACTGGAAGGATTTTTGTTCAAGGCAAACAAAGTTATGTTTGTCGATTACGCAAATCGCTTTACGAGTTGAAACAATCGTCGATGCAATGATACAAAAGATTTGACGAGTTTATGGTAAAACATTGATTTTGAAGAAGTTTTTATGATTGTTGCGTTTATCACCGGAAAATGGGTGATGGATCGAAAATTTATTTACTTTTGTACGTTGATGATATGTTAGTGGCGGCGAAGAATATTGAATAGGTTAAGAAATTGAAATTAATTCTTAATTTTGAGTTCGATACGAAGGATTTGGGTCCGACTCGGAAAATCTTAGGGATGAAAATCATTCAGGATTGTGAACATGGAAACTTTTCTTGTCATAGAAAAGTTACATCGAGAAGATTATCACCCGGTTCGGTATGAGTTCGGCAAAATCGGTAAATATTCCTTCGCCGGGAATTTGATGTACGTCATGGTGTGTACGAGACCGGGTATTTCTCATTCGGTAAGTGTAGTTTCTCTCTACATGCCAAATCCCGGAAAAGAGCATTGGGTTGCAGTAAAACGAATATTCCTGTATTTTAAGGGAACGTTCAATATAGGTCTCATTTATGGAGGTGATCGAGAGTGTTTGGTTACCGGGTATTCAGATTCAGATTATGCAGCGGATTTGGATGCTAGAAGGCCGCTAATGGGTTATGTCTATACGATTGGAAATTCGGTCGTGAGTTGGAAGGCAACTCTTCGGCATACGTTAGCTTTGTCTACAACTGAAGCTGAGTATATGGCTTTGACAAAAACGAAAAAGGAGGCGATTTGGCTAAAAGGATTGACCGGTGATCTTGGTATTAGTCAAGATCAAGCATTGGTCTATTGTGATAGCATGAGTGCTAGATGTTTGGCCAAAGACCAAGTATTTCAAGACCAGACCAAACACATTGATGTATGTTATCATTTTATTCGGTTCGTGACACGAGTGAAGGTGGCAAAGATTGGAACTCATGAGAACCCGACAGATATGTTGACAAAGTCGCTCCCGAAACGCAAGTATTGACATTGCTTGGATTTTCTCAACATTGATAGTTGGAAAAATGTGGTGACTTAGTAGAAAAATCAAGGTGGAGATTTGTGGGTTATTTTGTGATTTTTCTACAAAATATGAGGGACCGTTTGTGCATATTTTTCAAATCAAATTGGTTTTGACTTGGTTAAAAATAAAAAGGTAGAAACTCTCGTATATACAGCAGCAGCTAAAAGAATTATTCAAAGTTCTGTTTTTCATTTTCTCTTACATAGTTGTAGTTCTTTCAATTCTTGAGCAATACGAGAATCAACAATTTTTGGCTAGTTCTTACTAATTTCTAGTGTTGTTTTCGTTGTAATTCCATATTTGATTTTGATTTGGCATAACAGAAGAATTGGGTATTTAGGGCATGCCCAAAACAAAATGTATCATTCCCTTTTTCGTTTGTAAGTTTTGTTCAGGGGATGTGAATTTGATGTGAATTTGTCGTAAAATTCAAATTGTATTTAATTTTTTATTTTTCTTATGCGGAAGATAGTTGATTTTGTTTTCTTGGGTTCGGTTCTAGGTACCTCAAAGACCTTCAATTTCTCCTTAAGATTCAAGAACTAGAGCTTCTTCATGATTAGTCTGCATAAAACCCATGATCCTAAATTACAAAGCGAAGTTAAGGTTTTTATTTGATCCAATTTCAGTTTTGATCCAATTTCATTATTAGTCTGCTTTAATATTAATTTAAAATTAAGTTGGCATTCTCTAACGATATTTTTTCTCTCAGGGATCAGGCTTGTGCTAATGGCGACGAAAATTTGAAGGTTAACCCATTAGCATTCCTAATGAAATCATCACTTCTTTTCCATCTCTATTGCATCTTGATTGATTTAAACCTGTTTCTAATTGGGAGCTTTTTCTGCCTATTAGCTATTTGATAAAATGCACCAATGAACTCAATTTAGTATTGTAGGATGCAACTTAGTTGATGTACTCTTTATATGGTTGTCCATATTTTGCAAATTTTGTAACTCTTGCCTTTTATTTGCTTTTATTCCTATGACCGATGTTTATTTCTCTGATGGTAATCTTATTTGGTTAATATAATTTCATTTTCATTTTTTTTTTCTATCAGTTATCAAAGTATTTTGTTTTCAGTTTTTTCGTAATTAAAGTGTTGTACTTTTAATGAGATTTAAGGGTTGTTCCTGATTCTACTGGAGAGTGGGACTATGTAGGTTGCCTGATGATCTTGTTGCATAGTTAGGATTGAGGTTCACGTGACGTGGCATGGAACGTGTCGAATGTAGCAATGTTTTTTTAACAACGAAACCCATACTATTTTTTTCCATTATATTTTATAAACTGTTTCTTATTATTCTATTTTCTTTGACATAATGTACGTAGGTTTAGAGGTCAACATGTGCGACCAAAGAATTTATTTACAGACTTTCTTTACTTAATAATAAGCATCATATGTGTATATAACTATTGACGTAACATTCTTATTGAATGGCATTTTAAGTTGAAAGAGGGGTTTCTCTACCTTCTTGATTGAGGTAATTTTAATTTTTTAAAGGGTAGATTGCCGGAAATATTATTGTACTTTCTGTTTTTTTACCGATATTGGAATATAGTATTACTATATGGGGATGATTTTTTCAAAAGCACAACCAAAACGAAATGGTATAATAAACAAATAAATGAATGTTAATTTGTTGCTATTTGTTGCATTTTACGCTGCTAAAAATAGGCTAAGACCGGTCGGTATACTCTCTCCTGCATACTATGGTGGCTGGTTTGGCATCTCAATGTGTGGTGCACACAACACCGTTCCCCCCCTTCGAAACTGCGGTATGCTAACCATTTGGGTTGTGGTGACTTGGTAAGGCATGTGGAAGATATGGTGGATAACCTATTGACCCATGTTCAAATCCTGGCACTACTCAGCCCTTGTGGCCATGGAGGTTCGCCTGCAGTGACTCCAAGGCATGAGGCAAAGCCTCATGTTTGCAGCGGGGAATTAGTCGGTGCGCGAAAGCTGGCCCGGAAACCCTCGTTAGGGAAGTTCCCTTTCCAAAAAAAAAAACTGCGGTATGCTCACCGCAGGCGACGACCTTAAAGCATGCATTTTGTGACCATTTATGCTTTGTGACAGTTGGCAAACGGTTATTTTTCAAAATCTTTTATATTTTTAATTTTTTTTCTTAATAATTCAATTATAAATTCAACCCATATCTCAAACATATATCACACACAACTCTCTCAATTCTAAAACTTTTCAAACCTTTTTTGTTTTAAAATGAATCCAAACAATTCTCAATTTACCGCTCGGAGCAAATCACGTCTAAATGTTCGAAGATCGAAAACATCCGTTTACCGACCTCAACTTGATTCATCCATGATTTCGCCCCAACCACAACCCCGTCCCGAGGGGCGGAGGCAATGTGGGGGCTAGCATGTGTTTTACCTCCCCAACAATTCTTATTTGATTTACCTAAAGATTATTCTTCCTTTCATGACATTGAATTTCATCACTTAATCGTTTTTTTATCATCTTAGCCCACCTGCCACCCCGATGGCCCAATAATTTGATTAGTCTAAGCCTTTAAGGAATCTAGCAATTACATAAATATCAAATTTTTTATTATATTCAACGGATCAACGATACACAGCATTGCTTTTAACCATCTGTTTTTACCAACATCAATTTCAATAACAAATAATTTAAACTAGTTGTTTGGATTAAAGTTTACTATAAGTATTTATGGTTTTATTATGGTTTGTATTAAACCTTTATAATATATTTTATGCGAGTGAAACTTTATCTCTAAAAGTATTAATATAAAAACTACTATATGGTTTATAATATATTTTGTGCAAGTGAAACTTTATCTCTAAAATATTAATATAAAAATTATGGATATTGACGTTTTGGTTACGAAGGTTATCGTTAAAATGATAACGTGAATCAAATTTCATACATTGTCTAGTTTGGGTTTCAATTTTTTTTAGAACGGTTACACACCGATCCACTATACTACTTGTATTCTTTATATTTCATTTCAAACCAGACTTAGGAGCTGTTTGTTTGCCTCTTAATTTGAAAATTAAGAGGCAGTCTTTTAAAAATTCAGATTCAGACCGTTTGGTAGCCTATTATTTTTTGCCTCTTAATTTTGTAAATGCCACTTAAACTTTCAGAGGTAGAACAATGTCTGAAATTTTAAAAGAACGCGTCTTTCCCCTTTGTACCCCCAAGATTACAACGCTCTTTTCTCCACCTGCGTCTTTTCTTCACCTCATACTTCACGAGACCGGCACCCCCTTCTCCCTTTCACTTCCTCTCCGAGCTGCCTCCCTCCACCAACGATTTCGCCGTCTCCATCTCCGCCGATTGCGCCGCCTCCTCTATCTCCGCCGGTAGCGCCACCTTCCTCGTCAAAACACCTTTCTTGGTAAGTTTTTTTTCCCTAAAACTCGATTATATTCGTGGGAATGGTTGTGATGTTGGTAGAGATCGGATTATTTGCTTGAAATCATATTCTTTCCCTAATGCAAACACCTTCTTAACCTTCTGAGCCCTAGCGCTCGGGCGATTTCGGCGACCCTACCGCTGGTGTTTCCTTCTCATCCTCGGTGATGCGTTCACCTCCGTCAACCAATTTGTGATTTTATATTCTACTTCTAGATTTTCGTTATGAATTTTGTTTTGATTTGTTGAAGGTTAGTCCACAGACTCGCAAAATGACCTTTCTCCCTTTTCCCAATTTTACTTGACATTTGGATGTCGTGACTGATCTTGACAAATCTGATTTCATGATTTAGAGCGAGGGTATTTCTAATGATGTGATTTTTTTGAATATGCTTATTGGATTTCCTTCTTACATAATATGCACGCATATCTCTGTCTTGTGTGATTTCAGAAGCCCAACTACAGGATTGCTTCAAAGATTGATTGGTCTTTTGTTCTACATGATGTAACATGGATATGGCTTATCAATTGTAGTTGTTCAGTATGGTTGGAACCTGACATTCATCCAATTTGTGTTGCAGAAGGCTATAGGATTGCTTCAAAGATTGATGTTGATCATATGCAACGAATCTCACACATGAAGAAATCCAAGATAGGAAAGGCATCAAAACGGAAGGATAGGTTCAGTTAATTTTAGAAAGAACAAATTGGAATAGTTTTTGTGTTAGTGTTTGAAAATATTTATGTTTGGATTTTATTTGAATTTTAGTATTATTTGGTGGATTTGAAAATATTTTTGTTTGATTTGGATTATGTATTGTGTTTATATATATATTTTATAATCATTCAAAGAGTTTGTTCAGTTATTTTTTAAAACAAAAATATTGAAATAAACAAAAATTATACAGAAGGGTAAAATGGTCATTTTTATCATTCAGAATTGCAATTCAGATGTTCCAACCAAACAGTATGTTATAAATTCAGATCTTAAAAATTCAGACCTTCTTAGAAATTCAAACCTTTTAAAAATTCAGATCTTAAAAATTCAGACTCTACCAAACAGCCCCTTACTTTTGGCTGGGACATCTAAATGTAATTTCATAATAAAGAAAATAAAGTTTAAATATGCAATAATTTTTGTGTAATTCATAGAATGCTTATTAATAAATATTCAATGCTTTTACTTGTATAAATGTATTAAAAGTAGATATTAGAAAAATAAAAAATGATAATGCCCTTAGTTATATGATAATAGAATAAAAGTAGATATATATAAACAGAATAATTAAATATTTAAAAAGTAAAAATTTTTAAAATTAAAATATAATTGGGCTAGGGGTACGGGGACATGTTGTTTGGCATAGTTTCCCTCTACTCATCACCATTTGCTTTCATGTTAATACAATCTTCTTCGATGTTATACCTGCAACGAAGAGAGAGGTATAGAGAAGAAAAGACATGATTAGAAGAAAAGAAGTTGATTGTATCGTGCCCTCTTGTGGTAAACACAACTAAGCGCCACAGCCGTGCACCGAGGGTGGTGTGAATGACTGTGGCCAAGCCGCCACCTAAGTCACGAATGGGCCCGTTACACGTATACCCAAAGAACTTGAAGGGGTAATATGAGATATTATTAAAGATAAAAAAGTTAGATGTTCAAATTTTCATAGTATATGGACCGTTGAATATATATTAAATGATCAATAATAATTAACAAATAACTTACATTCTTCAATGATATTGAATCATCTTGACCATCCAAACAAATAGTAAAAAGCTCTAAAAAGGTATATCAAATGCTCTTATACATCCCAATCTAAATTTAAGTATTGGCACTAGAGATGCACAAACCTCGGATTCGATCCGATCCGGTTCGATGACATCAAAGGCAATCCGGTTTCAGCGAAGATCCGATCCAGTTTTAAACCAGTTTTGACCGGTTTTCCCTCCCCTGAATCCGAATCGGTTTAATCCGATCCGAAATCTGATCCGATTTTTGCAATTTTTTTTTCAAAAAAAACATTTTTTCGACCTCATATATAACACAAAATGCAACATAGGTTCATTAAAATAGTTAAAACATACATCAAATGTCGAATTAGAAAGAGTTTACAAACTAGTTAACTAATAATAATAATAATAATGTGGCGTTATAACATTTAGCCAAATAGAAATAGTTTTTGTGGTCTTCCACTTCGTGTCGCCTTCACTAAAATATTCTTCAACCGCCACGCAAATAGTTAGGGGTCTTATCAATACCATATTCTTCATCTTCGTCTTCGTCTTCATTGTCATCGTCTTCGTCTTCCGGAGGTGTTGATAAGCCTTGTGCATATTCTTCATCCATGATCTCTGGTTCAACATTTTGTGGTAGTGGGCCTTCTAGTGATGCCAAGTGTTGTATACGTTCCACCGAATCCAAGTAATCCTTCAAGCAAACGCAAACCTCTACCGCAACCGGGGTAAGATTGGTCCTCAACTTTGATAAAACTCTACCACTAAAAGAAAAAGCGGAATCCGAAGCTACCGTGGAAGCTTGGACGGTTAGTAAATCGTGGGCCATGATGGAGAGAATAGGAAATTGTGCTTCCTTTTCTCTCCACCAAGCCAAAAGATCCAAAATTTTAAATTGTGGTGCACTCATGAATTTTAAAAAGTTTGACCCCATATAAATTCCAAGTTTGCTACTAGGGGTTAATGTGCGTGCTCTTTTGTTTTGTTCCTCCAAAAGGTAGTTATAGAGGTCGATATGAAAATCTGTTCGACCCCCACTACTACCCGATGCACCACTAGTAGATTCGGTTACACTTGCAAAAGTGTTTCACATATTGCCATAGTTTGTAGCGTAAATGTCAAACAAATTAGTAAAAGTATTATTAAAATTGTGTATTTGGTTACGGATGTAGTTTGAGTCATCTTTGTGCAAATTTAAAGACATAGAAATTTTGGCAATCAAAGTCTCTACACCCGTAACATTGATACATGGGTTTAATGCCGCGGCGCAAGTAAAAAGTGGTGGCATTTCTTTGAAATATTTGACTAATTTTTGTCTCATTGGTCTCGTAACCAAAACAAATATTTCACTTCTTTGTTCAAAACGCTCCAATTACGCGGACATCAACCATAATTCATTTAGTAACAACGGACTAGTACGGTAATACACGTCCGATAAAAAAGTGGTTGATTATTTAAAAACTTTTAACATTTCCACAAACTCTTCCATCAAATCCCAATCAAAATCCGAAATCGGGTTTTTTCCTTTTGAAATTGTGTCGTAAAATAATTGCAAAGCGATTCTTTGACGTGTCAAACCTTCAAACATCATGCACGTCGAACTCCATGTAGTGTCAACATCCCAATGAGGATTATATGCAGTTACGTTAATGGAAATGGTAAACTTTCTATATTTTTCCATTTTAGCTTTATTTTTTCCAAAAACTCTAGTTAACACAGTTTTGAATTTTTCAATCGTCCAATCTATCATTTTTAAACCATCTTGTACCGCAAGATTAATAATGTGACAAACACATCTATTATGAAAAAATTAGCCATCCAAAATAGGTTTATATTTTGCAATTAATCTTTTTGCGGTGACGATATTATTACTTGCATTGTCAAACGAAATAGAGAAGATTTTGTCGCGTAAATTATAAGTCTCTATAACGCTTACTAAAATTGCAAATAATCGTGCCCCTGTGTGAGGATGCGCAAAAAGTTCAAAAGCAATGACTCGTTTGTTCATTACCCAAGTAGAGGGATCTATCCAATGTGCCGTGACAGCAAGATAGCTTTTGGGTCAACTTCCGGTGGATGACCAAACATCACAAGTTAAAGAAACACCGGTTTTTATATTTAAAAATCTCAATTGCATATCTTTTTTGGCTATACCCCAATACTTTAAAGCATCACGTCTAAGAGAAGTGCGACTTACTTGCCGGTATTGTGGTTGCATTTTTTCCAGCAAAATCCTTGTTAATCGTGGGTTGTCGAAGTGGTTGAAAGGCAAGCCCTCTTGAATCACGAACTTGCAAAAGTTTTCACGAATGTCATAATTGTTGTAAATAAAGATCGACCCGTCGGGAGTAATATTTGGTTGATCCGGATCGCATTGACCTTTTACAACCGGACAAGTTTTTGTTGTATGACTCATCAACGTATTATTGCCATCTTTTCCCAAAAACATCCCGCACATCTTGCATCTCGTTTTTTCCTTCCCGTTCGACAATAAACACAAATCACAATGTTCCCACACTTCTTTATTCCGAGTGGTTGGTATGATTTTAACCACCGTTGCATCCGAATCTTGACCCGCGGTAGAATTTATCGAGCTCATTTTTTGGAGTATTATGAAAATAGAAGTATAAACTAGTAGAAATTTGTGTAAAATGGAAATGTAGCAAATGACATGTATTTATATGTGTTTAGAAGGGCCAAAAAGTCAAGAAAAGTCAAACTAGCCGTTTTTTGAGGGTTCCAACGGTTAGAAAAAAAATTGAAAATGCCCGTTTTTAACGGTAAAAAAAAAAACGGTTTGAATCCGGTTTTGGATCCGGTTTGAGTCGAATCCGGTTTACGATCCGGGGTCCAATCCGATACTACGTCCGAAGCACCAAACCGGTTTGAATCCGGTCACCGGTTTAATCCGAACCGGTTCGGTCAAAACCGATTTTGACCAAATCCGGTTTCCAGATCGGATCGGATCCTATACCCGGATCCGGTTTTCGTGTGCATCTCTAATTGGCACCTACTCTCTTTCTCTCACTCCTAACGCCTTTTCTTTCAGCCACCCACATATGCTGCAATAGAAGAAGGGTTATTTTAAATACTAAATTTATAATTAGATGAATCATTATTGCCGTTGAAAACCATTATTAGGCTGGTGGGTATGGGTTGGTGTTATAACATCAAAAAATTGTCACCTCATATGTCATATCATCCTTAACACCACACTATTTTTTTAGGAAATACCCACGACACCACCACACCAATTTATAGGAAAAAATATTATTTTTTGTTTTTTTTAAGTAATGTGAGTTAAAAAATGGTCCTATTGGTTGTTCTTCCCATTGAGCTACATTATCATGGAAACAAGGTATAAACAACGGGTTTCGGGGGTGGTGTACATTTGGCCTTAACGTCGTTGTGGAGGTGCCACATCGGCCTCCACGATGTTAAGGTGACCCATACCCAAGCGTCTTTAGACTATTACATTATTCTATTCAAATTTCTTATTACACCCACCTTGGATTTACACATAAATTTCATATAATATTTTTAAGTTTTCAAAATTTTATTTATAACTTTGTTATGTTAATATACATGTGAATCCTTTTTACTTTTTGATATTTAACTAGAAATTGTCTCATCCCGCTTCGCGGGGGACACATACGAGGTTTCGCTAGAGATGGGGGCGCAAATTGTGTAAACAGAAAACCTGCAAATATACAAACTCATGTGGCAAAATTGTTAAAACAAAAAAAAGTGTAGGACACGAAACTTGACAATATATTGTGGGGGCCTGCTGGGGGAATAATTTGTAAATTTTCTATTAGGTATGGATTATTTTTGTAATTTTTTTAATCATATAACTGTTTTTGTAAAAAAAATGCACAATGACATTTTGTGTAAATTACAGGGACAATTTTATAATTTATTTTCGACAAAGGGGCCAAGCCTGACAACATAAAAAAATATTAAACATATAGATTGTTTTGTTTCTGTAAAAGACAAACCTCACAATGATCTTTTCTGTAAATTTCAAAATTATAAGGATAAAATTTGTTAATATCTAAAAGCTTTGTGGCAAAACTCCAAAATGATAAAGTTTAGTGGCAAAATTTCAAAATTCCAAAA